GACGAATGGACGGTTTAACCCCTGTGAAGCAAAGGATGACTTTAATGGATGAGTTTAATAATTCTCCCGATATCTTCATCTTCATTTTGACCACTAAAGTTGGTGGATTGGGGACAAATTTAACCGGTGCAAATCGAGTCATTATATTTGATCCCGATTGGAACCCTTCTACCGACATGCAGGTTGGTATGACAAGGGCGTTTACGTCTTTTTATCCAACTTTGTTATAATTCTTTTTTTAATTTTAATTTTTGGTGATTGTCAGGCGAGGGAGCGTGCATGGCGTATTGGTCAAACAAAAGATGTAACGATTTACAGATTGATAACGCGTGGAACGATAGAAGAAAAAGTATATCATCGACAAATATACAAACATTTTTTAACCAACAAAATCTTGAAAAACCCACAGCAGAGAAGATTCTTTAAAGCTCGCGACATGAAAGATCTCTTCACATTGAATGATGATAAAGAAAACGGAAGCACCGAAACATCAAATCTTTTCAGTCAATTATCCGAAGATGTAAACAGCGTCCGCCAAAATGAAAATCCCGAAACACTCGCCGAAAAGAAACAAAAGGAAATGATTGATGACAGCAATGAAGGAGGGGTAGAAGAGGAAACAAATATTTTGCGGTCTCTCTTTGATGCTCAGGGGATTCATGTAAGCTTGGTTTCTTTTTCCACGGTTTTATTGAACATAAAGTAATAACATTTTATATAAATTTGCAGAGTGCGGTGAACCATGATGTGATAATGAATGCTAATAATGATGAGGAAAAGGTGAAACTCGATGAACAAGCTTCACAAGTTGCACATCGAGCAGCGGAAGCATTACGCCAATCGCGAATGCTTAGGAGCCGTGAAAGCATCGCGGTTCCAACGTGGACCGGGAAATCAGGAACCGCGGGTGCACCCACGGGTGGTGGTCGGAAGTTCGGGTCAATGGTCAACTCAAAGTTGGTTGCTAAAACCAGAATCGAACATGGATCCGGATCTGGATCTAAGTTTGTTGTTGGAGCATCTGGTGGGAAAGCGTTATCTTCATCTGAGTTATTGGCTAAAATTAGAGGGACCCAAGAGCAAGCGGTTGGTGATGCATTGGGTTCATCGGTTAGACCGCGGAACTTGGGTGGGGTGCAGCCGGAGGTTTTGATTCGACAAATTTGTAGTTTTTTACAGCAAAGAGGTGGGACCAGTGATTCCGGTAGTATAGTCCATCATTTTAAAGATAGGATTCCCTCAAAGGATTTGCCTGTGTTTAAGTCTCTTTTGAAGGAGATTGCAACTTTGCAAAAAACTCCCAATGCCTCTTCCTGGATTTTGAAATCTGAGTATCGATAGCATTAATCACTTTTCAAGGTATTTATTTACCATGAATTTCGAGATTTTTTGCCTCTAGTGTTTTTTTTTTTGTCCTTCTAATTTTGGCGCTGTTAGGATTGGTAATTAAACATTCACGCAATTGAAATTTTGATTGTGGGAAACAAAAAAAGAAAGAGATAACTTTATATATAATGCGAATCTTGAAAAAACAATACCGTTTATAGAAGAAAAATAAAAGAGGATGACCGATCACTGACTATCAATTGCATCATTTTTCTATTTGAAAAAGTGGGTCGTTCTTGATGCAAACAATAATTCTTTTTGGTTGTATTCTAAACTTGTGACAACTTTTTGTTAAGTTTTTATTTGAAAGATGGTAACTTTTTGTTGTATTTGACCAATGATGTTTTACATGCTTGAAAACTAGTTAAAATTTCGCTTGGGATAGCTATGTGTAAGTCGAAATTTTTACAAATAGAAGTGACATTTTTGACTTTTGATATATTTATAGAAAACAGGCTGATATGGTTCAAGTTTTAAAAGGGCCCCATAGAAATAAAAACAGAAAAGAGTCGAGTCAAATGCGTCAAGCCGTTAAATGGATGGATCAAAGGTTTAACCCGATAGTAATATGTTTTTGTCATATCATATTCAATTATTCATATCTATTGTACTTACCATCCAAAAGACAAATATAAGAACATTACGGGTAAAAAGAGTTGCTCTATTATTTGCTAAATTTATTAAATATATTTTCTAATACATATTAGAAAACTACTATTAATTATTAAAAATATTACCATAATTAAATTCAAAATACATTTATTATGGATTATTAATGTATTTTACATTTAATTATTATAATATTTCTTATAATTAATATATACTAGGTGTGAGCCCCATGTATTACATGGGTGTATTTAAAACAATTAAATATGTATAAATATTTGAAATTTTTGAATTTATAAGAAAAATGAGAAAAATATTGAATTACTAAAATTAAAGTGTTTTTTTTTTTCTCTTTTAAATTTAAACAAATCATTAAGATAAAATAATCAAAGCAAATTAATGAGATTTTATTTTAAAATTTTGAAATTATAAGGAAAATCCATTAATGAAATTGATATACATTTATTATTAAATTTAAATACCATATGAAATTTAATAAAATAGGAAAACCACAAAATTACATATGGAATAAAAATTAATTCAAAATAACCACAAAATGACATGTGGCAAAATGAATAAGAGTGTGATAAGTATCAAAAAAAACCTTCATTTATTAAAAAAGATTATATTTAAGAGATTTTCTAATATGTGCCTAATGGCACATATAATAAGCATTAATTGAAGATATATATTACCATAATTAATTATAAAATACATTAATAATAAAAAATATTACCATAATTACATGTGAAGTGCATTAATAACTTCCATAATAAATGCATTTCAAATTTAATTATGTGAAGCTTGAGCTCGGCTCGTGAACAATTTAGTGGGCTTGCGAGCCAAAACGAGCCTCTCTCTCTCTCTCTCTCTCTCTATATATATATATATATATATATATATATATATATATATATATATATATATATATATATATATATATATATATATATAGAGAGAGAGAGAGAGAGAGAGAGAGAGGGAGGTGAGTTCAATTGAAAAATAAAAAAGGTTGAGAATGGGAGAATCATTATCAGCCACTCATTTAATCTAAGCATAAAAAGACACGGTGACAAACTTGTAAATATGTTAATAACCTTCAATCTCAAATACGTAACTATAGAGAATTCAATAACAATCCGCTCATCATCAAAAAATTTCCTCCAACCTTCAATAATCATCAAGATTTCTTCAACTAAATCGGAACTTCTTCACTGGTCATGAAATTGGAATCAGAGTTCTGGACTCGCAGTCACAGTCGACATTGAAGGACTCAAAATCGGTACTCACAGGTTCCCAATCGGATTTTCGGAAATCAAAATCAAAATAAAAAATCGATCAGACATAGGATGTCGCGTCTGAAGTCGAAATCGGAAGTATATGAGGATTTGGAATTAATAACTTGATGTTTTTAAAAAATTTAAAATAGTTAACTTGTATGCCCTCCAACTGTTTGATGAAATGCATAAACTAAATTACCATGTTATATTCACATATGAATATGTTTTCTCACCTGAATCAGTATATGATTATTAAAAATACAAAACAAATATGCAAGTCTGTATGTTATTCATACATATAAAAATTATATATAGTTGTTAAAATACCTTCAAATATTCATAAGTGAATATATATTTACAAGTTAATATACATTGTAATATTCATATGTGAATATACTGTGTAATATTCGTAAGTGAATATATCATCTAATATTCACAAGTGAATAGTAATATACTATGTAATATTCACATATGATATATCATGTAATATTATGTAATATTCACTTATGAAATATCATTTAATACTCATAAGTGAATATACCATATAATATTCATAAATGAATATACTATGTTAATATTCACAAGTGAATACATCGTCCAATATTAAAATATGAATATATTATATTTATTATATGTTATATTCATATATGAATAATATTTAAATTGTAAAAAAAAAAATCATACTTTTTATTCATAAATGAATAACAAATGTATTATAATAAAACATGATTCATTTTTATTAACTTATGAATACGATAGCTGAAAATATAAAAAAAAAAAATATATTTTATCTTAAAACTATATCAATATGGATGTCTATTTGTAAAGAATAAAAATTCATGAATTTTGGTATATTTAAAATCATTTTTTTGATAAAAATAGCTTCTAAAAATTAAAAAAAAAAACGAAAAAAACTATGTTTTTGTATATATTAAGGTAATGATTAGGATAGTTTAAGGAAATATGTTTTTGCTAGAAAACACATGTGCATTTTTTTTTCATTTCCGCTGGTACGTTGGAGGTTTTTACGGCAAAAATAAATAATTAGCTGAGAATGATTTCCCTATTCTCAACCTTTTTTTTTCTCAATTGAACTCTCCCCTATATATATATATATATATATATATATATATATATATATATATATATATATATATATATATATATATATATATATATATATATATATATATATATATATGCTCGTTTAAGCTCGTGAGCCCATTAATTGAAGCTCGGCTCAAGCTTGTTTAATAAACAAGCCTCATATTCAGGCTCGAGCTCGGCTCAGGCTCGTTTAATTCGATCTCGAGTCGAGCTTTTAGCGAGTCAATCCCAAATAGCTCACGAGTAGCTCAGCTCACTTACACCCTAGCTTCAATAGAAGACATCGGGCAAACAACAATATAAATAAAGATAAAAAAATAAGAATAATGAAAGCTCCCACTTGGATTCACCGAATGACTCTAAATATACACAATTCGACCTAATTAAGGTATACATTAAAACAATAGTCACAAAGAATGAATATAACCGAGCATTGACTTGACATTTACGACACCTTTTTGCCAATTGAGCTGTAACAAGTATACATACAAAACTTTTGTTTCACTTAATCTGATACCGTGACTTGATGCATTAAGTAAAAAACAATGGTCAACTGATGAATATTGTGATATTTTTTTAGAATTTAAAAATGATGGTTTATTCACTGTAGAAAGAAGAAGCCTTTATTTATACAACACTTCATCAACACAATCATCATTCCTTTTACCCACACAGAATTAGGAAAAAAACAATCCCTTGGATAAGTAAAAGAAAAGATATTTCTTGCATTGAATAGTAGCTCGAAAATAAGAAACACCTCAGAAAAAAATACAAAACAACAGTGCATATTAAGTAGGGATAGAAGAGCTCGATTAGAATTCAATTTGAGTTTTTATAAACTCAAACCTGGTTCATTATATTTATATGTTTCAAACTAGACGCAACAAGTATACTCAAAACAGGTTTCCTTCCAGGGTGAAGAACAAGGCAACAACAGATTCACAGTAGAGGAAGCAATGGGAAGACAAGATCTTAACGTCAGAGTGAAATTGGACTTACGTTGGCAGATAATTGTAACATATAATTATGAAATACAAGGTCACGAATATTTATATATTCCAGACAATTACAATTATTTCCAATAATGGACTGTCACTGTATATTGATTGTTACCTTCTGTTGTATCATGTCATCTATTCTGCTTGCTTTCCTCAACATTAACATAACAGAAGAAAAGATATCATCCAAGTATTACACCTCATCCGATTCCGATACAATCAAAATGCTGCCCATCCAGCTGCACTGCTTTTGCTTTTGCTTTGAGTTGTTGACCCAGATCCACCGCTTGAAGGAAGATTCCTCTGCATGATTGTTGTTCTCTTTCAGTTGGAATTAAGATTCGAAGAATATATGTAGCCAAGGAGATGAACTAATAAAAAAAGATACCTCGAGCTGAGAGAAATCTGTGAAAGCATCTGTAGAATTCCTTGCAGCAACATTATGAGTTGTAGAAGTCATCCGAACAGCAGCAGGATCATTGGGTGGGGGTGGGATAGGAGACCTAATTTTCCCGGAGGCAACTGGTGGAGGAGCAAGGCTTAGAGGCTTAGACTTAACCTTCTCAGGTGGAGGAGCAAGGCTAAGTGGCTTAATCTTTTCGGATAACCCTGCAGATGAAAGCATCCCAGCTCCACTTGCAGGTTTGTTTTTTACAGTGATCCGAATTGTTTCACCCTCCTAAAATATGTAATGGTTCAGGTTAATATTCTCTAATGAGCTCAAATCCATTTCAATACTTCTAGGAATTAGATGGTTTCAGCTACTGATCTGAAAATGTCGACTATATACGCATAGCCGGAAAACTGTAAGTGACGATACATACCTTCAATCTGTGATTTACAGCAGGATGGATATTGATATGACTCTCGTCGCTGGCTTCATCGGCATCCTTCTCAATCTCCCTCTTCACATACTTCTCATGATCCGACAACGCCACATTAAAATCAAACGCCTCGTTCCTCTCTGTAAACCCTAACCCTATAAAAGCGTGTTTCCCCGTGCCATCCTCGATTTTCAAAACAAAATACCTCGACGAATCGAGCACCGACTCCACGGCGCTCTCCCTCTGGCCAGGATAAACAAAACAAGCCGCAAACAAATCTCCGGAATTCGGATCTTCCAATCGGATCTCACACCGGTCCTTACAGGAAACAACACGAAGCCTGCCAGACCAGATCTTGTCCGACTGAAGCCACTCTCCGCATTTGTAACCGCCGCTAGTGGAACGCGGCGGGATTTTGAAAACCGACACTTCTCGAACCACTAGTAACGTGTGCTCGAAGGACTCTTCTTCTTCTAACTCGAACGACATCGCTGATTGGTGTTGATGTTGTTCTGCTGCTGCGATCGACAATGTGAGATATTAAAATCGAGTAAAAGCGATGTAGATTTCTTGAGGTTAAAGTGATGAAAAGTTCAAAAAGAACAGAGTGATCGGGATTGATTTTGGAAGTATATCTACAACGACGTAAGATTGAAGAATCGAAGATCGAGAAAGGAAGATAGAATATTATAATCAGTGCGAGTGGGAGTGGGAGAGACGTGAGTTTGAAATGTCAACTGCGGCTGCGTCTGGTTTTTTTCTTCATTAGATAAGAATACCCGGCAGGCCGCGGCATCCACCATTACCATTTACCAAATATATTCGGTTTGGGCTTTTTCGTTGATTTATAGTTCAATTTAGTTTTTATTTTTAAGCTTTCGTTTAATATTATTATTTCAATTTCAAGGATCTGTATTTTTTAAACTACAAAGATACACGGTACAAAATGAAATTGAGATGAAACAGAAATTCGAATTTGTATTCGTGTAAAGTGTAAAAAAACACGACGTCGTGTTGTGTTCGTTTTAATAATTCGACACGAAATTGACATGATTTAATATTTGTCTGTCGTATTTTTCGTGTTTGTCGTGTTATGAATGATTAAGTATTAATTAAATAAATTAATTTTTATTTTATGTTATATTTGTCATGTCATGTCGCGTTTGATGTTTTTTAATCAGTTCATTTTCGTGTTAATTAAAAAAAAAATGACACAATAAAAACATGACACAATGACCAAATTTACCACCCCTAGTTACAAGGCTTCTCCATATGCACAATTCCTTTCCTTCCTAACCCTAACATACTTTTTTTTTACTACGCTAGCATCACAACCAAAGCAAGATGCAGAAGTAACAAAACATAATGTACAAGCTATGTAATGCAAGTGAACCAAGGATCATAGGGATACATGTTGTCCTAATGAGGCAAAAGCCTCGGTATCGGAACATCAAGAATGGTGTTCCAAGAAGTACTACAACAAAACATGCTCCCGTCCGTTCATATGTAGAGCATACCGACCACCTTAATTACCATGTTTACGACATGTGAGATAGGAAGCTCTTAAAATAAGAACAACTTAAAATACGGTGAATGTAATAAGTCATATTGTTATATGGGATAATTATAAAATGGTAACATCATTTCTTATAATTACTTTATAATTAAAGAAAATGACTTTAATTTTTGCATTACTGTGTTTATCATCAAGTCTAAAATTTGTTATTTCATACTTCATAAATGTAAAATTTGAAATTTGCTCTCATGTGTACAAAACACTACAATTCTCATGTATTTTTTTAGTCCAAAATATACTTCTAATATGACATAAATTTTATTAGAAACAAAATTAACTTATACAACAAATAATTAAATTTGAAGAAAATATGTTATTTACAATAATTTTCAGCAAATAAATAGTCATTCACTAATTCTCAAATCCCTTAACGCAAATTGTAATTCACTAATTTGCATTATAAAAATAAATATGCGTCTTAAGTATGTTTTATTTTTCACATGTATGTCATGAAACATAATTTATACGTTATCTTTCAAAAACTCGTAGAATATTGGTTTTTGTTTGTTTTACATATGAATCATGATGACTCGAAGAATAAAACAATTATGAATAATATACAAGTACTAAGTTTGTAAATGGTTTTAAATGTGTTATCATCCCATGAAAACATTAAAAGAAGGAAAAGTCCAATAAACCTTTGAATTCAGTTTGTTATAACATTTTAATTGTCCTTGTTGGGTCTTAAAAAAATTATGATTGTGTGATCATAATTGTTGATGCGTCAAAAATGAACCTCACATCTACTATTTTGGCAAGCATTAAATAATGATCAAACAATATATTCAAGTTAAATATTTACTTCCAAGAGGGATACCTTTGGCACTACAAAAAAATGTTTAGAAGGACATACATTTCTTGACTTCAATGGTCTATAAAGCACAAAAACTAGTAAAAGGAACCATTCAGAAAAAAAAAAAAAAAAAAAAAAAAAAAAAAAAAAAAAAAAAAAAAAAAAAAAAAAAAAAAAAAAAAAAAAAAAAAAAAAAAAAAAAAAAAAAAAAAAAAAAAAAAAAAAAAAAAAAAAAAAAAAAACAAAAAAAAAAAACAAACAAACAAAAACAATACCTTAATGATTTTCAATTTGGAGTTGGTGTGTCATGCTAAGGTTGTTTTTCTTAGTGTCAACATGATGTTGAGTGAATGTCATTATAAGGGTCTCTTGCATTGCTTACTGTGGATTTCTCGAATCCTTTTAATATGGTGGACAGATTTGTCTTATTTAATGGGATCAGGATAAGGTGACCTTCCATTTTTTTGTGGGTCAAACTCTTAAATGGACAGACAACAATGTTGTATTTGGGAGATAAATATATTTGGTCCACTATTGGAGTTCAACAATGCGACCCTTTGGGACCACTTTTTTTTTGTTCTTGTATTGCATCCACTTGCTCATCATATTAGAGACAATTGCAAACTTTTTTTTTCATGTTTGGTATCTTGATGATGAGTCTGTCATTGAAGATTTAGAAAATGTGCCCAGAGTATTGGACATCATTAGGGTGATAGGCTCATGATTAGGCTTTGAACTGAATATCAAGAAAACCGAGCTTTTTTTGCCGTCATGTGATGGTAGGAAGCTTCGTGTGAGTTTATTCCTTATTGATATTGGGCGATCGTTATTGGATGTAAAGCTTCTTGGGAGAGCTGTTGGTAGAGATGCGTGTTTCATTAGCGGGTTAGTCATGAAGAGAGTTGTCAACGTTGTTGATTTGATGCTCCTTCTTCCATAGTTACACGACTCCCAGAGTGAGCTTCTTTTGCTCCGATCTTGCATGGACATTGCCAAACTTTTCTTTGGCTTGAGGATATGCGAACATGTTCACATGGATGAGACGGCTTTATTCTTTGATAAATAGTTATGTGGGTCGATTGTGAACATTGTGGTTTGTGGGGGTCCTTTTGTAACATCCAGTTTCAGGACGTTTCTTATTTTGGGATTTCATGTCATAATGTGATCAAGTAAGGTTTTGGGCTTCGAATGAGAGTTTAGACCCTATCGGATATTGATAATGTTGGTTAAGTGATTTAAGCTCTTTAATTGTGTTTTATAGCCAAATGGGTAAAATGGGAAAGTGATATTTCAGACTTCTTGCACGATTTAATGATTTTAGTTCGATATGTTTTCTAGTCAAAAGCAAGTTGATAGAATTGTGGGGATTGTCAATACCTTTGTGTCCATATAAAGATCGTCGAAAACGGAGTTGAAAAAAAAGACGTTATGACTATTTGAAGCTGTAATTGACTTGAGTGAGAACCCGTCTCCACGAAGTGGAGAATTGTTTTCCATGGCGTGGTAATCACCACGAAGTGGAGAACTGTTTTCCACGGAGCGGACGTTGGGCAAGCCCAAACCCATGATTTTTTAGGTTTTCAATATTTTAAAGGTAAGGATTCATGTTTTAGGGGATTTTTTAGCCTCCATCACATCTAGAACTCCTTGAGAGCAACCCTAGCCTCCCTCTTCATGATTTGAGCTCCTTCTCTCTCCTTGAACCTCTTTTAGGTGCTTTTAGTTGTAATTTGATAAATCTTGAAGATCAATATATTTCTTTTAGTTGCACGTAAGGTTGTTTCAAGCTTGGATCTATCAAAGTCACTCCATTTCTATATTATGTGAGTATAAAGTTCATACCTTGCTCTTTAGTTCTTTAGATCATGTTATTGGTGGTTTTTGACACTTTTGGTCCATTTTATGGGTGATTTTGGAGTTGAGTGGACTCCAACATCTTTTGATTAGTTTGGAATGCTTCTTGGATCTCATGGACTAGAAAAGTTATGATCTTTTGTCTTCCCTTTAAGCCACACAACTTATGTTGGTCCTTTAGGTCATTTTGGTGTATTAAATTTTAGATCTTGAAAGTTTATGGCATCATTATGGATAGAGTTGGAAACTTTATCCATCTAAAATTCATGTTGATTCAGATCTGAAGGTTGGAGACTTAGAATTAATGGAGTAAGTTGGGAAAGATGCATTCTTGATCCCTTTGAGTCTTAAAGTTTATATTCTTGGTTGTTTGGACCATCTTAATGGATAAAGTTGGAAACTTTATCCATTATGAAGCTATTAGGTAACATATCTTATATTTGGAAGCTTGGGCTTAAGGGTTAAGTGTTTAACTCGTTAAGCTGGTGGGAACAGTTCCTACGGTGTAACATGTTGCTCGCCATGATGTGTTATCGAGTTTCACCATGACTGTTTCATAGCGTGGCTGCCATGGCGCGGTCAGTGGTTAGCCACAACGTGGTGGCTGACCGTTGACCATTAACTTTTTGACAAGTTTGAATTTTGGTCAAACGTAGAGAGGTGTTGAGTTATAGTTTGAGGTTTACCTTGTGATTGATTTAGGAGGTTTGTATTGATGATTATGTGGGACTTTGAGTAGTGGATTCCAACTCGTCATTCAGATATCCTCATTGTATTATTTATGGCATAATGGTGTGCATGCTAAACTCGTTGAGTCTTATTTTTTGATTGTTATTATATGTACCATTGAGATTACTGATTACTCTGTGACTACTGATAGTCCGCAAGGTTTTTGATAACCCACAAGGTTGTTATATGCCCATAGGACTGCTGATGGCCCCATGGTTGCTGATAACCATAGTTGTTTATATTGTTGTGTGTATGTGATATTTAGGACTGCTGATAGTGTAATCGTCCGTTGTTAGGCATTTCAAACCCAACAAATAAAGGGGGTACGGTATACTCCAAAAGAATCCCACTATATTGCACTAAAAGGTAGTACAAGGCAAGTAGGGTCGATCCACAGAGACACAAGATAATTAGTCTATACCTTTTTGCGTAATGTACTATGGTCACCAACAGAAAAAAGGGGGGGTTTAGAGTGCAATGACTAAACAAACAAATCAAAAACACACGTAGTCAGCTAAATGAGTGAATTAAATTCATATTTTATACGTACTCCAATTTCTTGTATGACAACTTAGCAATGTGACTCAGAGATGACACAATATTCGTTCAGTTCTATCTAAGTTGGTACTTGAAATTGTTAATAAGCTCTAACACTTTCCATTCACCACATTAATTAACCAAAACAAGCTCTTTGATTAACCCTAACCTTACTAACCTAATCTAAACAAGATATTGGAATTAGATTAAAAGATTACATGAAGCTTTATGTGAATGTTCCCAACAACACCCAATATTCCTCACAAGCTCGAGAGTGTAAAAGTTTATGAATAATATTTACACTAAATTCATTCAATAGAGATCAATTTAATGCTTGTTACTTGTTCAATTCCACAAAACA